TCATGGTCGCAAAGCGGTCGAATTGTAGGTGCGAAGTGCTGCTGCATTAAATAATTATTTATTTATTTATTTATTTTATGAGGACTTTTACAAGTGCGTGCCAATCCCTTTTCTCCGTTTTCCACTTTTCCGGCTCTCGATTTTTTTTCCATAAATATTAAATTGTTTTCAGTAATATAATTATAATAAAATCGATTAAAATTTGCCAATTTTTTGTTATTTATTTTTTCCCATAGCCTTTTCGATCTTTCTTTACATTATAGTTTATATTAAATTATTTAATATTTAATAAAAAATTAATAGAAATTTGTTTTTAAATAAAAATAGGAATTTATTTGGATTAAGTTGATTTGAATTAGCCCAAATAGAACCATCCAATTTGTGATAAAATAATAGAAATAATGTGATATTCAAATTCACCAATGGGCCAATTTATATTTAATTAATGATTTAAGATATTTGTTATGTTATTTATTATAAATAAAACTTTTTTTAATATCTAGATTTTATTAAAGTGGGCTTAAATCTTAATTATGGAAAAAATTAATGGACAATATTCAACCAAATTTTTTGTCATAAAGTCATTAAATTTGTCTTAAAATAAATGTAATATGAATTTTTTATTTATTAGAAAATTCTAAAATTATGATAAGAAATTTATTATACAATTAATTTTTTTCATAATCTTATTACTAATGATCTTAAGATTATGATTGATGTTAAAAACTCAATACTAAATTTTCTTCAAAAAAATAAAAATAGTTGAAAACTATTATTAATTGAAGCATAAAAATATTTAAAATTTATATAAATTACAAAAATTATGTTTATATTTATTAAATGCATAAATCAAATGGCAACATTATGAAATGTCCTCATAGAATAATGAAATTGTATTATTTAGAATAGAAGAGTTAAAGAGTGGATGCAATTCACATGTAGCATTTACAAATAATATTATTAAATGTTAGTACTATGTACTATTCAAATAATATGAATGATTTCTTTTATGTTAGCTGGGCTATTCTACCCTTTGGAAGTTCTTTGAACCTACAATTGCCCTCTATTTTGAAACTCAATCATGAGATTTGTTTTTATCAACCTTTTATGACATTAAAATATGGCTATGATCTGATCATTGAATTGTCAATCCCTCAAAGGCTTTAATACTAGTGGGCAGCATCACACCACTCTCATTTGTCGATCGACCACCCCAGTCAGTCATGACCGGGCGGGTTGATTAGGTTGGCTTAGGGGTTGTATAACTATTTCACGATTCAATTGGTGGAAACAACAAATTTGGCGTGTATGTTGTTAAAAAAATGAGGAATATTTTAGATTTTCTTACAATATTTAGATAACCCTCTTAGATATCTATAAATATGCAGAAGTTTTTTCCCATAGTTTGAATTGGAAGAAACTACTAATCGTAGAGAATTTTGAAGTTCGAAAAACTTTTACAATCATCTTGAAATTGAGAGACTAACTAGACATCTTCCAACTGAAGTTGCTGTAATTCATCATTAATCAACATTAGCTGATTTCCAACATCTAGCATCCACTGACTTCTAACTCTTAATGATCATTGATGTCTAAAATCCAATATTTGCCGACATCCATCTCTAAATATTTCATGGTCGCAAACATTCAATTTGTGCTAATAAAGTAAATTTGATTTCAATGATCTATAATGTTAATGTCCACCTAGTAGGTCACCCCCTCTCCTATAAGGAGAATACTCGATCCAACTAACTCTCATAATATGATATTTGTTAATGTGTTATGTACGTCAATGACAAACATCTAGCATTTATTGATTGAAAAGAAGTAAATGAGGATGGTCCCCTTTTTATAAGGAGAATAACCGAGCTAACCATTATTGCTTTCCAACAATATCAAAAATTTGTCTATTAACTAATATAACCCAATAATCATAGTTGATTGGCATCCACTAACATCTAAGTTCCAATATACACCAACATCTAACTCTTATCACTAATTATAACCCTTTATTGATAAAGTTAATCAACTCTCGTCATTCCTCATCCATGTCATTGAATAACTCTTGATGTCCATCAAACAACTTTTTAAGATATTCGTGATCAACTGGCATTCGTCAATATCCAACACTTAAGTCAACCACTGCCCCTTCGCTAAAGACAAGTATCTGCCAACAAACATTGCTCAAAATCAACTATGATATTCTAAAAAATCAAACTAAAAAAGGAAAGAAAGAAGATAAAATATGCATTTATTTATTGGTATCCTAAGGGTCTCAAACTCTTATGATTAACTAGTCAAAATATATACAAAAGATGCAAAATTCAAAGTTGGACATTAACATAATGATGATCAATAAATTAAAATTTCTTGAAATAGGCACAATAAATAATATCTAAGTTTGAAATCATCATCAAAACTATAAGATATTTACGTAGATATGAACAAAAAGAAGATGGAAAGAGTCCCAATATATACAATTTAATGCAATGAAGTGTTTGACTAGGTTATGCATTTATATCCTTTTTGTTTTTATTTGAACAAAAAAAAAAAAAATGAACACATATGAAAAAATTTAATGGAGATGTTGAGGAAAAAATTTAAAAATTTTAACCCTATGTTCTTAAGGATTTTAACCTTATGTTCTTATCCTTTTTAGCTCATAGTTCTTGATATAATTAAAAGTTCAAAAAAAAAAAAAAAGTTGTCCTAAAATTTGATTGAGTATTAATGATAATTAATAAAATAATTAAGTTTATATTTACCATGTTGTCTACCAAATGCATTTGTTGATAAAAAATAAGCATCAAGGAAAAGAGGATGAACACAAACCTAGCTAGCTCAAAATCATTTTATATTTTTAGTTTGATTGATATGGAACAATTCCTCAAAATGAAGATAGATTATCCTTATAAAATAAAGGAAGAGTTAAAAAAAGTTTCATTTGTCCTTGCCTTTCTTGACACTAATTAAACTTATTTTTAAATTTGTAACTTTGTTAACTACTTATTTGGTTAACTTTTCATCTAATTTAGGGTTTATTTCAGACGGATTTTTTTCTTGCTTGTATTTTAGACCACTGTCATATTTATGTTGATGATATGTCTAAGGTACTATAATTTCTATTGACATTGAAGATATGACAGAATATATATAAATATATATTGTGGAATATATGTTTAAATATTGTATTGTTAGGTGCCCTTAATCATATTTAGCTCAATATTATTCATACATTTATATATAACGTTCAAGTAGATAATAATCAAGGGAGGAACAAGTTTCTCATTTTAGGGTGGACATAATAAGTTTGTGAAATGTATAATCTTGTATGTGAAATCAAAAAAAAAAAAGAAAAGTTTTTTTTTTTTCAAAGAATTTAGGCAACTGCATTTATTAAAAGTGCATAAAATAGTTAAAATATTTATTCTTCAAAGAAAAAAAGGTTTCAGTGTCGACAATTATCCACTTTGAGCTATTTCTAGTTCCACCAATTAGTAGATTTTATGTTTGTGAATAGCTAATATTTGGCTAAATAAAGTAAAAAAGACTTGCACAAATAAATTTTTTTGGCTAGTTTAGCTTAATGAGGAAAGCTAAATAAGATTTAGTTTACTTTACACTATTAGTACATGCAATTGTAAAATTTTTACTTTATTTTTATTAATTTTTTTGACAATATTAATTACTGAAAAATAAATTTAATACATA